GGGGGGGGCTCATTTTGATGCAATCTTTCATAATGTCATACAAATATGTTGTTCAGATGATCGGGGTTTAAGGGCCTTTAGTACAATGGTGGCAATCGGAGTCTCCGGGGGGCTATTGGAGTCCCACATTGGCTACACATTGATCATCAAACCTGTATATACATAAAAACCTTCTCTCTCTCTCTCTAAAAGGGTTCCACATGTTCTCACAAGAGTCTTATCGCTATTCTAGAATATGGTACTAACACAGATGCAGATGTCATTTGAATCTCTTGTTGAACCACAATGCATTTTAGCTCATGCAGTTTCTTTCTATGGATTTCTCTATCATTATGGCGCAAGTATCTTTCAAACCAACATGTATTTATTACAATTACTTCATCATGACAGGCAGCTGCTGATGCTAAGTACTATGGAAATGTAGAAACATACAATATTTTGAAGGCCCGTGGAGCCAAAGTTCCGGTATTTTCCAGTTAATGTTGTTTGATATGTTGATAATTTCTAATTCACGATATTATAACGAGTATCTTTCAATTGTGCTAGAAAACTAGAAAGACACCTATGTCCGTTGCAAATCCTCGAGAAGTTCCCGAGTACGAACTCAATCCTCTAGAGCTTCAGATTCGCAAAAGTGATGGCATCTCAAAGGCAAGACTCTTTTTCTAATATTAGCAAATTTGGGTTTGAGTAGTTATGTTTCAACTGCATCGACATTTTAAGTTGATTCATGAAACAACATTTGGAAATTTCGACACTTTAAGCAACATTTCGACAATTTAAGTGATTCAATGCTACTTTTATATCCGTATGTAATTGAGTGAGCAACTTTTGGAAATTTTGGCAGGGAAACTATCAAGTTGCTAAATGGAATGGGACAAAAGTTTCTGTGAAGATACTAGACAAGGATAGCTACTCTGACCCTGAAAGCATGTATGTGTCTTGATATCCTTTTTCAACCGGCTAGCGTTTTTTTTAACCGGATGAAATTAATGTGGTCCGATCAATCAGATTCCATAGCCAGAAATTAAGAAGGGAAACAGAGAGAAATTAAGGAAGAGGATTTGGGACAATTTTCTGAATAATCCATTAATAATCCCAACGAATACATATAAAGGAAATTGCAATTAACCACTACTCACATGGAGGAGACCATGGATCACCACTCCTTTATTTTAGGAACAACTCCTTGACGCACAAGCTAAACATAAACTGAAAGAATAGGAAATAACTTAATTAATTTAGCATAAGGTGCCCTTTGTAACGTTGGCTTCGGTACACATCAGAAATGTCGATTTTATACTGCTGCATTGCTGCACATACAACTGCAGGGACGTAAAATCATAAACATAACAAGGATGTATCTTGCCTATGATATAGCAAAAAGATAGAATCATAAAAACCTTTGGACACTCACATCTTGGTTTATCAATTTGCATTTGTTGTCATCAGTTTTTTTAACTACAAAAATACAGTTTGAAGAAGAACGATCTGAGATATGAGAAAAGTAAAATTGCCTTTGTTGAAGTCCCACATCGGCTAAACTTTGACCCTTTCTCCTCGGTATATTATGGAACCCCCTTCTCTCATCAAGGGTTTTTTGGAGAGTAATCTAATGGGGTTCCACATATTCTCACATGGTATCAGAGCCAAAGTCTACCACTCTAGGGACTTGACACTGCATGGCGATCTGTACTTGTCAAGCCCCCTTGTCCATCTAGTCTCCTCTTGACGCTAGGGAAGTTGTCTATAAGGGTGGTAGATTGGGAAGATTTCACTTTGCTTCCTCAAAGCTATGGCATACTCGTAGTGGTTTGTAATACAAAGTGTGTGCCCAAGTGCAGATATAACTGAAACACCATATTGTTAGTAAAAATACTATCGAAAATTACAGCATAATCATAGTGGTTTCGTCATTACTTCACATTTGTTTGGGTAACTTTGGGTGTTCGGGTCAGCTTACGTGCACCTTGACTAATCCATGAGGCCTGGATTTAACAGCCAGACAAACCCTCCGGTATCTCTGAGGGGACTTGAGCTGGTGACCTCTAGGGAGCAAATCCAAGGTCTTACCGGTTGATCCCTCAGGGTTTATTATGACTTCACATTACACTCTTAGTAGTTAGCATTGAACTCTTTTGTGTTCTTATTAATGCAGAAACACTTTCAAACATGAGTTGACCTTATTGGAGAAGGTGCGGCATCCTAATGTGGTTCAATTTGTTGGAGCTGTCACCCAAAATATACCCATGATGATTGTTTCCGAGTTTCATCAAAGAGTAAGTTCTCTCTCACATCCAAACAGGCTGTATGTATGTATGCATGTATGTATGTATGTCCGTCTGTATGTCTGTATGTATGTCAAGCTTAACAAATGCATACATATGATAAGCTTTGAGTGACATCTGTATTGATTCTTTTGTTCTATATTTCTTGATACCATAATGGTATAACAATGCTTAAATTCATTACCAATTTCAGGGTGACCTTACAACCTATCTTCAGAAGAAAGGGCGGTTGTCGCCACCCAAAGCTCTTAGATATGCTCTTGATATTGCCAGGCAAGTAATATGTTGTTTTGTACATTGAGGGTGCATTTGGTATGCAGGACAGGACATAACAAAAACTTGTTGTACCACATTTGGTGCTGACATTTAGACAAGGACAGGGCATGACTGAGTGGGACAAAAATACATTTTCTTTGTCCTAACAAAATAGGTGGAACAAAACTCAAGGAGGTGAACAAGATTGGTAAATTACTAAACTACCCATGCCAAATTAAAACCTTAAAACCGTGTACAATTCTTTCACCCGCCTACCTCACTCTTGCCAGTCCAGTCCCGTCCGTGTACCAAGTAAATCTTGGATGCTTTTTATGTTAATTGTGCCATATACATATTTGACACTTTTCTCTTCTTGATTGACTCTGATCTGGCAGGGGAATGAATTATCTTCATGAATGCAAACCGGACCCAATTATCCACTGTGATTTAAGGCCAAAGTAAGGCAACTAATATAAGTTTTGATTGTTCTGTAAAGTAACTTGTATGAGCTCGTGTTTTGAGATTTTTTTAATAATTGAAATTTTGGTAAGGTGCCAGAAATATTTTGCTGGATAGTGGGGGACAGTTGAAGGTTGCAGGATTCGCAGTGATTAGGTTGTCCAAGATTTCGCCTAATAAAGCAAGATTGGCGCGGCCTGTTACCATCGATCGAGCAAGTAAGTTCTAGGAAATGGAATCTGTTTCTTGTTGCCAAAACATGAAGCTTTCTTTTTCTTTTTTTCTTTGTTCAGGATGAAATCCACAAACGTATATGCAATATTACGTTTTATAGTATAATTTAAATAAAAGTAGGAAACATCTCATCGTGCATTATCAATATGAAGACTGATTTTTAATATTCGGTAACTGAATCTTCTGTGTTAATTGTAGATTTGTATATTGCACCCGAGATTTATAGAGATGATCTGTTTGACAGAAGTGTGGATGTGTACTCTTTTGGCCTTATTCTTTACGAGGTACTTTCTCTTTACTCAAATATATATATATATATATATATATAATATATATATATATATATATATAGATGTTTCCACCTTATGACTGTTTTTTTTCCACACACAAATTTGTCCTAGACATTTCAAGTATGATACAACACTGTACAAACACTGCATTTTAACACATGTTGTTTAAAATGTGAAGCAACACATAAAAACTGGTTTGCAAGTTTGTATGATTTATTGGGTTTGTAAATGATTATGCACATACATACATATATGTATATATATGTCGTAATATATCATGTTACTATACCCATTGCTTGTTTACACATACTGTCACCTGTAGCTTGTTCTCTTGCTTCTTTTACTTTTTGTTTTGCAAGCCAGGGGTTTTCATGGAAACAACCTCTCTATCCATTGGGGTAGAGGAAAGGTCTGTGTACATCTTTACCCCCACAGACCTTACGCCTGCATGAGATTTACTGGGTTTGTTTGGTTTTTATTATGTGATATACTTGTAACATCCCTTTCCCTCTTTGGTTCTTTTTGTCATTTCAGTTTAATTAGTTATTTCATTAAATCAGATAGTTTGTTGGATGAATGATTGTCCTTCTGAAACTTGGATGTTGGTTTTGTTTACAATGAGGTCAGATGATGGAGGGTGTCCAACCATTTCATCCCAAGGCTCCTGAGGATGCTGTTAAGCTCATGTGTGTAGATGACAAGAGACCACCATTCAAGATCAAAGCTAAACATTATCCTCCTGATCTAAAAGAGTAAGTCACTTTTTTCTAAATCTTGATGAGTTGATTATTAGTCAAGGAGGTGGAAAAGTGGATTATCGATTTTTGTTCCTTTTCATCTTCTGAGGGCCCGTTTGGTTTGCGGGATGTGGAATTGGATTCCATTCCAATCCCGTGTTTGGTTTAAAGAATGGAATTCAATTACAATCCAGAATTCCAAATCCTCCTTCCAACACCAAATCCTTCGACGAAATCCAAATCCCTCGAAAACATTCCGTCAAACCAAATATACCTTACTGTTTCTTCACGGAAACAACCATTCTACTCTTTGGGTAGAGAACATGTCTGCGTACATTTCACCGCCGTACCTACTTTCTAGTGAGAAATACTGGGTTGTTTCTACTCTTTGTTTTCTTCATTTCTCATCGACCGACTTTTCAAGTGATATCATCTTCTTATAAAAATAACCAACTTTCGATGCTTTCTCATTCCGTTCCTTCTTCATTCTTATTTTGTAGATTGATCGAGGAGTGTTGGTATCCAGATTCGACCGTAAGGCCAAAGTTTTCTGAGATTATCATACGACTCGACAGTATTGTCGGAAACTGCTCTAAACAGGGATGGTGGAAAGAAACGTTTAAGCTCCCATGGTATGCTTCTATTTGTTAATATTTTTGCATTTCTCGCTTTCTCACACATTTCACAAGATAGGGGTCTTTATGGAAACAACCGTTTTAATCTTTTGAACAGAGGTTAAGTCTCCTTTCATCTTCTCTCCCAAACCCCACCAAAGAGTGGGACATACTGGGTTCGTTTGGTTTGGTTTGGTTTGGTATGCTTCCCGACCCTTGATGAACTCACAATCAATGATTCTTAGTTACGTATGTTGTGTATCGTGGGCCTTATATCTCCATTGTTGAGTAAATAAGTTTTGGAACTTCTGTTTCAGGAAATAAACATATGAATGTCGAACACGGACGGGTTTGGCTGGTGATCAGAACTCCAGGTTTGGGGACTTTGTACCGAGGTCTTTACAACTACGTTTGGATATATAACAGATGTCGGATGACTGCTACCGAGGGGGCGGTAAGCGTAATCTTTTAGAGTTATGGAAGCTGCATGATAAAGTGGAATCATCACAATACTAAGCTTTTTATGTTTTCTTGTTTACGTTTATGAAAATTGTTCGTATGTAACTAATGTTAATACGGCATGTGATATAATAGTTTCGAGTAATTTCGTCTTCTTTTTTTCTCGTTGGAACAAAATGCCGAATGAAACGGTCTTCATCCGTCTCGAGTTTGTTGACAAATGTTTATCGAACAAATAAATCCTTAGAAAGTGAGAGTTTCAGCTACAAATCGATATGGTATATCCAACGGGCATGTCGGAGCGGATCGGATGGAATAAATATAACAAAGATCAGTAATCTTATATGATAAGAAAGAAAGCAAGGATCATAAAATCTTACACGATAATTGAGAGTCTTTGCCGGTAAACGCTTACCCCATAAGCGGTCGGTAAACCCAAACCTGACTTTGGCCCATGCAAGAGCGTTACGTGAAAGACAAATCACGTATATAGCAACCTATTAAACGGATGGTTTAAGAACCCAATGGGATCTCTTATATCGTGATTGCCTTACTTGAACCATCCCATATTTGTCCAAGTATAAAATCTCGAAACCAACTCCGTTAATGCATGGTTTATTTTACGTGACATCGCGTAATCATGAATTACAAGTTATATTGTAATTCATGATTGTGTAAAATGACACGTTAAAGTAAACCGGTGCAACATAGGTCAAAAAGCCATGTATCAAGTGAAACTGATACAAAATATGAGAAAATTAAACGTATGTTATACTGATTAAGAAAAATGTTATCGTTATATTAAACAGGAATCAGACAATTTTTGACATATTTGTTTTTTTTTTTTTTTGGAGACATAAAACATTTAATATCAACATTAACAATCAAACAATTCACTGTGAGTTTATGAAGTACGTAGGTTATAGGTTCTGGCACAAAGATGTACATTCGTACGTCATGCAACGTTTTTTGATTTTTGCATCTATCACAATACTACGCTTTTTATGTAAATTACGTTTATGAAAGTTGTTCATATGTTCTATAATTGATACGACATGTGATATAATAACATTGAGTAATGTCGTTTTCTTTTTCTTCTTGTTGGAACACAATGCCAAATTAAACGGTCTTCATCCATTTCGTGTTTGTTGACAAAAATGTTGATCGAAAAAGAATCCTTAAAAAACGAAAGAGGTTCTATTACGAATTGATATGGTATTTCCAACGGTCCTGGTGTAGCAAATTGAACAGAATAAATATTCGATCATGATGTCATTAATTTAAAGCAGGTCAGATCCCGAGTTTTATTTATCATCGGATTTTTTTAGATGGATTGGATAAAGATTTTTTTTTCTTTTTTCGACCATATAAAGCCCAAACTAATCTTTTTCTATGGTAAGATAAAACCTGAAATGCCTTAAAGAGAAAAACACTATAAAATGTTACTTCAACCCATCACTATAATACTAAAAAATGGAGATCATAACCATAATGTGGTGCTTGATTGGTTTGAGCTTGGCTCCAAATGTCAAAAGTATTAGTAGGTCTCAGGTTTAAATCCAAGAAGGAATAAAAATCCCTCTGTGGCCACAGAAGTTCAAATGCGGTAACTCCTGGCTATCTGCAAATCATGTGGTCGTCCTATAATTAGTCGATTCGTATAGCGGGTTGGATATCCAGGTTAATAAAAAAAACGGAGATCACCAACATTAGCCTCTATATTTGAAGGTCAAAATGTTGGCCTCTATTTTCCAAATATTAAAACTATATTGAGTTTATATATATATATATATATATATATATATATATATATATATATA